CAGGGCCGGAGGGCCCTCCGAGCGGCCCGGGGCGGCGGGGAGTGACCCCGGCCGGCCCTGCCGAACCCTTGCCGGGTGGAAGCGGCGCTCGGCTGGGCTCTGCAGAGCATCTCCGTCATAAATCTCGGTCATCGGATTTTTTAGTAACGGGAACTTGGAAGCGCTTTTGTTTGCTTTGCCGTCCGGCTTTGTACGTGTGCTTTTACTGACTGCTTTATCTCTCGTTTTACTCCAGGCAGCGTTCCGTCTCTGGCTGCCGGGCTTCTCTTCGGTGGCTTGGCGGGACTGGGCGCGTACCAGCAGTCCAAAGATCCGAAGAACGTGTGGCTTTCCCTCGGTAAGTTCGCTGGGCACCCGAGTGCTGAGCGTTACCGGTAGCAGTGGGAATGGTAACCTTTTTTTTTTTTTCTAGCACGTTTCAGCCGATCTGATCTGTGCCCTTTTATTTGTACAAATGTTGTACGCGGTGGTAGGAGCTCCTGCTCACGGCCAGGAGGTGTTTGTGTAAGAGCACGGTACCTGGTTCTGGAACCTGGGTTGCCCTTGAAGCCAGAGTTGGTGAAGAAACGCTCATCGCCTCTCTGCCAGATGAGATACGATGTTAAACTAATGTAGGCAAAGGAAATGTATGTGAAAAATGGTTGTGAAGCAGTGTGTTTAGCCTGTGGTCATGGAATAAGCATTTTTGCAGTAGTGATAGCACTCTCAATGAGCAGTTTGTGGCTTTATGGAATACTGGTTTGCACAGGCATCTCAGAACAGCAGCGAGTGTTTTAATGGATCATACACTGTGGAAGAAACAGTCTGAAGTAGGTAAAAGAAAGGTGGCAACAATCTATTCTGCTTGCTTGCAGTAGATGGGACTCTAAGAAGTCCTGGGTTGAGCTTGCGGTTAACCCTTCAGGTGAAGGAGAAAGATGAAATGACAGTGGGAAGTATTATGAAGCAGTGGAAGAGATCAGATGAACCTCAGGGACTTCCATCACTGCAGGACTTTAATAACTGGTTAAACCAGTATCTGTCAGGAATTGATCTTGCCTTTGGGCACTAGGTTAGCCTAGATGACCTACTGAGGTTCCTTCTAGTTCTGTAACTATGCCATAGTATTATTAGTGTTATGACACTGTAGCATTACAGTGATTTAAGACTATTTAAAACCAGTAAGACTTGATCACATAATGTGCTGAAAGGCTTTATGAAGCCCCTGGTAGATACTGTGGAGGACCAAACTGCTTTGTCAGTAAGGAATGAAACGTAAACCACAGCGCAATGTGAAGCGAAGTTTCCAGTTGGGAACTGTCTCTTCCACTCTGGCATGTCACAGGAGTGGCTGTGCATCTCTGCCACAAATTTTTAGGCAGTGTTGTGACGGAAAGATGAGCAGCTTCTGGATATCCTGATGCGGTGTATGTAGCACTTTCAGGTGGACCTCTTGAAAGTGGTGTTGTGTTCCAGTCTAGGACAACTCTTCATTCATCCATTCCTCCTCAGTCCTGCTGCGATGTGCAGTTGCGGCTCCCGCTGAGCTTTAGGTTGGTCACAGTACATCATGGGTAGAAATCCCAAAAAAGAACCTTAACAGAATACCTTTAGAATGCCTTTTCCCCTAACTGAAGCAAGCAAGCTTGAAGCTTTGGAGAAAGGTATACAGCACCTCCACCTGCCTTTCTTCTTCAGAGAAACAACGGCCCTGTAACTTTTACGTGAAAATTGATGAGATTTTTTTCCCAGACTTAGAGATTAAATAATCTGGAGTAACATTTAAAATGTCGGTTTGATCCCTTAGGTTGCTTTCTGTTTGCTAATGCGTATCGTCAAGTGAGGTGGTTTTACTTCTATTTGTAGAATTTAGTGCCACCTTCCAGTTCAGAATGTCACAGAGAAATGGGAACTGTAACAATATTTGCCTCTCACACAGTGAACTTTGTCACCGCCCCAGCTTTCTGGCAGTTTTGAGCCTATCTGTAGTCAGCGGAATAATCATTCTTCCGCAAATCAGGAGAAACTGAGAGAGGGAGAGCGGTCTGCCCTGAAGATTGGAAGTGGTGGGCGATTGGACAGTAGTCTCAACCCTGATGAGATCTACTCGCTTCTACTGAGCAGTGGAGCGTGCCCACCAAAGCTGCTGAGAAGCCTGCACCAGCTCTACCGATTAACAAAAAGGAAGTCAAATGTTTGCGTAGGCTTCCTTGCGGAGAGAAGGGAGGCGTTCCTCTCTGTAGACGTAGGCACTGCCAAATGTCCAAGCGTTGCAGCGCTGTGCTGGTGTTTGTGTTTCAAATGGTTCTGACTGGGCTTCTTTTCAACAGTGGCGTCTGGAACCTTGTCTGCTGTTATGGGAATGAGATTTTACAACTCCAGAAAAGCAATGCCTGGGATAATTGCTGGTGCCAGGTAGTCACCTGTCTTTTGTTCTTGTCTGTGTTTTTGAATAAGCATTTTATTTAACTTGTTCATGGATTGTATTGTTTTGAAAATGTTATGCAGTAAGTTGTGTGAAAAATGAAATCTGGTGGAGTTCAGCTAAATGAAATCGTATCAATGTTTTCTTCCTTCTTGTTCTTTATGGGACTTTTGCCTCCACGCGCTTTTTTTTTTTTTTTTATAACAACTATTCTGTTCAACAGTTTACTGATGGTTGGACGGCTTGGACTGCAGATCATGGAAAAGCCTCTTAAGCCATAAGTCTGCGTCAAGTCCCTTGGAGATGCGTGATTGAGAAGCCTGAAAATGCAACTGCCTAAACGTGCTACACAAAAGTGGAAAAGGCACTGCTGTCTGTGCATTGTATTTTTCATATCCTGACGCGTGTGGGTTGTGTTTTTAAAGGACTGACATTGAGAGCCCTTGTTATGTCTTCCAAAATGGTATTTGTCTTAACATTTTCTGCACTGTGAGGCAAGAAAATATGAGTATAGCATTAGTTTGCCTATGGTAAGCTGCAGAACCAGAAGCTAAAGACCTCTTGGCACTTGTGTGCAGACAGTTGCAGGATTAAAGCTTAAATGTACATCTGGACTTGTCATTCTAAAATCATTTATACCGCTAAAACAAGGGGAGAGGAGATTCCAATTTGTCACTAGTAATTAATATAACAAATGCGCTTATTATATTACTTCTCCCTTTCCTTGCCAGTTTATCCGGTCATGACGTTTGTCAGTCGGGGACTTTGTTCTCCCAGCAGTGCGTGTTAGAACCTGGTCCCACAAAACACAATCACGGAGCAGACTGTCGAGGTTCTGCTGTAATGCAGCAAATGCAAACCTGTTATCTGCAATGAATTGTGAGCAAAAGTGCCCAGCTAAACGTCATTCATTTCACTTTTACAGATTGTTATTCATAAATCGAGAATATGCTTATAATAACACTGAATTGTAGGCATAGCTTTCGCATTTCATGAGAATTAAAATGTTACTCTAAATAAACCAGCAAATTATTATTACAAACTTTTGCATTCTATGCAACTATTTTTTTCTTTAATTGTTGATCTGTGTTGATACATTGTTGCCTTTCCCACACAGTCCGATATATATTTGCGAACATGAATTGTATACATAATCTCTATTCCATTCCCTGAATCTAGTGACTTGTGAATACAAAAATCCCAGGAACTGTAGGGACGTGTGGAGAACAAAAGCCGACAGACCACACACTCAGACAAGTGTTCTATTAAAGCTTTTTTTTTTTTCCTGAATCATCTATTTTAGATTTGAAAAATTCTCTACGAGAGTTTATTTAAAGACTGAAGCGCTCAGTTGATCAGTCTTTGTCCTCAGTTGATTCCCTTGATGCCTGAAATAATTCTAAATATAAACCTGCCATACAGAAATAATCCTGGGAGCTACACATGCATGGTAACGTATCCCTTTTCTGGTCTCATTTAACTTGCATCCCTTTCTGCACAGATCCTGAGCTTCGATTTCCTCAACCTTTCTTCTTTGCTGGCTGGTACTGGGAGAGATGGAAGCAGTGGAGTTTCCATTAGATTCGTCTAACTCTGGAGTTGCTGAGATTTCTCTAAATACCAGGCTAGTACCTTGGCAGGAGGGTGACATTTTGTGGTCTTCCTCCCCTCCTTTCTCGTCCCAGCAAAACACGGCAGAGCAGTGACCTCCTACTGCCTGAGCTGGAGGGGCAGAGCTAGTCGGGTGGCAGTGGGCAGGCTCTGCCAGCAATGCAGCGATGAGGCAGGCTTGAGGTCAAGCCAGGATGCCAGGTCAAGCAGGGTCAAGATCAGCAGGGACACGGCCAGGCACGGGCACAGCTGCAGCGCAGCTCCGACAAAGCTCTCGGCAGCCTGGCCCCAGGCCACACCGCTTGGGTCAGAGCGGGCTGGAGCGCAGGCAGTGAGGTCTCTGCGGGGAGCTGTACTCAGGGCACCTTCCTAGAGTCATTATTCATCATCCTACGGAGTTCAGCTTCAGGTGCTCACCCACGTTTACTTTTTTATATAAGTATTTACCTTATTTACATATTTAATGGAATAAAGACAATAGAAAGCGGGGAATTGGATTGCTAAGCTTTTAAACTCTCAGATCAAAGTGTTGAGCCTTGCTGCTGTTTCACGTGCTTCGGGAAAGCGGTAGCTTCCATTGAGAACTGCTGGTAGAACTCGTGACCGCTTTTCACGTTCAGGAGAAACAGTAGTAATCCAGGCGAAGGGAGGAGAGAAAAGCTTGAGCCTTACATACTTTTTACCCCCTTGGAACTTTATCAGCATATACTAAATTTCTTAAGCATTGGATGGCATTTCTGCACTAATGTTCAATGTGTATCAATGCATCTGAGTTACAATGACTGTACAAAGCCTATTAGCCTCTTGTTACTGTTTTTTCTTGCTGTTTGCAAGAATTTTTTCACGCTTGTCATGCTTTGATTATGGACAAGTAAAGGCTGTTAGGGTTATGTCAAAGCAGTTTCAGTCTTCCTTAGCATATGATAAGGACAGCATGTTTCTTCTAGCCCTATTTAGTGCCATAAATAGCACCTATTTATTTTTCTGCCGTAGGTGACTTACGGACACAGACACATTAGTTAATTCCTTGACCAGACTGTGATTTTAACTAAGTCAATGGCATCTTGTACTGGCGATGAGTGATTCATGTATATTGTTTTTTAATTATAAAATCAATGGGCTTATGCCTGTTATAGAAAGTCTGAGGCTGTCCTTCATTGCCAGTTACAGATATAGTTTACAGATAAATTAAGATGCATTTAAATAGCATAGGGCCATCTGGTAGTACTAAGGGAATGACAAATACTTAAGCCTAGACCAAGGGCAATTGAATTAAAGTCTGTAGTGCATTACTAACCAGATATCCCCATCCCCATATAGCTCTTCCGGTATTAAAATGGCATTTTCTTTAGGTGCAATTTTCATAATGAAACACTTGACTTTTTGTACAACTATTGTAGATTCAACTGACTTCCATTAAGTTAATGTAACCCATATATTATGGCACATTAGGTCAACAACAGAATTTAAATTTTTATGTGCAGTTATAAAAGCCATACAAATACATTTCTTTTTTACAATGCTTAAAGTAATCATGAACAGCTTTACATCTCTAAAGAACATATTCATTTTGTACTTTAAAATCGCAGGTTTAATATAACTACTAAGTCTAAAGCATCTATTCCAATGCAGCTGTTAACAGAAGTAGCCTAGATCAACATGCTAAAACCAATTTATTGTACATTGCAAGGTCCTTTGTGGGATTTTACTATAAAAATTGGCATAGAAGCCAGGGAAAGTACTGAATGAGCATATATAGAGTGAGGTATTGCGTTGTTAAAGTTTGTGTTTTCAGGTACCTAAGGTGGCCTTTAAGATATAAATCAGAAAGCAACATCTTTGAAGAACAGCCCAATATCCTCCCTCACATAGCTGATTCAGCTTCTGTAGCTTAGTTTGATCACCTGATAAAGACATGTAAAAACAGGATTTTACTGATAGTTTATGCCTTTTTTGCTAACTCACCTTTAAAATGACTGACAGACTACGGTGGACTGACAGACTACAGTGATCGAGGCTCCTTAAAATATCACTGTGACGCTCCCTGGACAGGACAGATATAAATCTCCACAGATCTTCAACCAAAATTGGTCATAAGTTAATCTAGTAGAACCTAGATTTTAGGTTTCACTACAGTTTGGCGAGGTAAGTCTAGCATTCAGCACTTGTTTAGCTATTTTCCAATATTGCTATATCATTCTATAGCCATATATGGGCCAAGTTTTTAGACCTTCCCTGTGTAATATTTGTGAATGGATTGCTTATGTCCTGCTACAAGGAGGTAAGTTCTCATTGCTGTTACGAATATTTGCACGTTACAGACCCTAAATAACTCAAAGGTACAAGTGAGTTCTGAAGTCTTTGTATGAGAGCATGGTGTTCTTCACCAAGCCTGATCTGTGCTTTCACTCTCACCTTTCTGGTAAGGAACCAGCCTAATAACCTGACAGCGTGGTGCTGCTCTGCTTTAGCCCCAGTTCTAGCTGCCTGCGTACATGAAAGCAAGCGTCTGCTAATAGTGGACACTGCATTGGGCGAACAACCGTAACAGTTGCTTTAGGAGTACAATGAGAGGAGACACATCTAGAGAAAAATGTTGAGTGAAATCTACTTCTCAGTAGTTTTGGCAATATGTGTTATACAATACTTCAACAAATCCTACTTTATAGCCAGTATTTTCCACCGTATTATATATATTCTATTTTTCTTCCACAGATAATAGAACACAAGGTCTTTTTTCCTTCTTTGCTATTGCATAGTCTTAGGAAAAGTTAGAGCAAACAGGCATTTCAGGCTTCCAGTGAAGGAGAACTGAACACAGCTCACATAATATCGATACCGTATGGCATTTTCTATCTGTTTCCTCCATATTTGGCCACCCAGTCTGTTCTTCCATGTACTGGCTGAATTGTTGGTGGACGAGTTAAAACAGTCATTGTTTTTGCAGCAGAATTGAAAGTAGGACCTGGTAACTGAGCACGAGCAGCTTTGGTTTTCCAGGAATAGTCTGAAAGGAACAACAACTCAGAATTAGTTACAACTCAACACTCCTTTACACACAGAAGAATGAGAACTTAAAGATGACTTGTGGTACGCAGGCATACTAACACAGAAGGATGCTTTGGTCTCTGATATGCTGTCTATACTTGTTTTCAGATAAGGTTAATGTTTCCTATAGTTTGTGTATCTTATTAGTAATTCTCATCTACTGAATACTTGTTTTGCATCAATCCCTCTGGAAAACATTGAGACTGAAATTCAATGGGAAAACTGACGTGTATGTCTACAACTCTCTATCTCCTATTACAAAATGGCTACAGAATGGAAGTGTTCTTTCCTCTATGTCAAATATTTGAAAAAGCATATAATTATAACATTGCTAAACTTATTAAAACCCAAACAGCCTAGACTGAAGGACAGCTTCTAGAGACCCTCTTGTTCCTTTTGAGATTTTATTCCTTTATTCCCCTCCTGCTTAGCCGAGAACTCCTGTTGTACCTGATGACAAGTCCTCTTCATCTCCATTTCCTGTTTCTCTATTGATTTCATAGGATCTGTTCCAAGTCCTTGTTTTGTTTTATTTTTATCCCTTATATTGGCATCCACCTGGTCTCAGGCACTGGGAATAGTGCACTACTGTATTTCCGGCCTTCCTACTGAGATTTCCCCTTTCTACAATTCGGATAGTCACTGCTTCCTCAAGCTTCACATAATTAAAGTAACTGCCCTGCTGCAGGGGCTGACAGCTCACGGTTTTCATGTTCATCACCAATCCTGCCATTTTCCCAAGCCTTTAAAGTCAGTCATCTGGGACCTCTTATATATAAAGAAGGAATTCTATTATGATTTGTATGTATAAGAAATATATATACTCCTACTATACCTTATCATTGTTTTCTTAGCATTCCTAAAGTATGTTCTGCCCCTTCCATTTCTACTTTTGTAGCTTAGTCTTCTTTTACTGGGTATTACTGATTTTTTTTTTTTTTAATTTAACATGTTATGGATAAAATACTTTTTTTGTTTTGGTGCCTACATATCATTCTGTTTCTTATGGGAAACCACCTTTTTTTGGTGGTATTTTTCAACAGTGGGTTGAACCCATTCAGGAACAGGTGAGGATCAAGACATTTAAAAAGGAGGAATCTCAAGGAACTGAAACTGGGGGTCAGGTCTCCACCTCTTTGAAAACTAATACTGTTCTTTTTTATTGTAGGCTGGCATTCCCTATCTTTCATCAGCAAGTACGATTCCAGCCTACTCTGTCTTGGAAATGAAGGTCACTTTTCTCTGGTCTTGGCATTGCCTTTTCCTCAGAGAAATTAATCTTTCATACTACATTAAATTATTTAAATTATGGCATTAAAAAACTTTACAGAACAAATGACGAGAGCAGAAACAATTGTGAGCATAACTTATTTCAGTTTGGATAATACAAAGCAAAGGGTCACCAAAATGTTAATGTTTAAATACTGACAGATAGGAGATAAAACCTGCCATTTTCTTCATCCTTATCTCTCTTCCCATGCAAGTCTGCAGAGTTTAGGCTACATATGAGGGGTTTAAGCAATAGGATTCTTGCTCTTCTCCAGGACATGGAACAGTCTCTTAATTGACCTCCATCTGCCAGGCTTTCTGACTTTTACTACACATTTTCCATTTTTAATTACAGATTAACAGTGAATTTATTTCCCTTTGGATCACCATATGTAATTCCTTTTCATTTTCACTATTCACAGCAGTCTAGCGATAGTTGCTGATTTTGTCCTCCTGTTAACTTCTTGATCCACGCACTGTGACAAATCAAAACTCTCACTGTTGTGTTTCAGCAGTGAGTTGATAAGATAATGAAGTGCAGCTCCATCTTTCCCTGGTGGGCTTCTGATCAACTCAGACTCAAAATGTGCATACATCTAAGCGTATTTTATGTGTGCGTGCTATCTCCTTCCTTCCCTCCCTCTCTCCTCTGAAGTCACCTGCAAGTTCCTAAGGGGAACAGGTAGCTCAAAGGAGCAAGTCAGCAAAAAGACAACATTGTTAAGCAGGACCATATCAGATTGGTCTGCCATAGGCCCATTAGTTAAATTCATTATTAGTTTAGGGCCTTGCTATTTCTTCTGAAGTAACTAGAGAAGTGTACTGTTGGGTTTGGACAACGGCTCTAAATCTTCACTCACAAACCCGTTTCTCCTGCATCCTGAGGACTTCTGTTCATCTTCTCTGAATCAGAAACATACCAACAAAGCAGTGGCTCAGAATGTCATCCATATCGTAGAGGATACAAGGTAACAGTTACATTCAGAACAGATTTCACATTGATTTTAACTGATGAATGGAACAGTCTTTTAATGTGTTTGTTAACGTAATGTACAGCCACACCATTACTGTATCGTAACAATTAAGAACTCATCATTTGCATTTGGCTTTTACCTTCTATGATGTAGCAACATTGAAAGTTTCACTTCACAAAGCACTCATGGTATTTCATGGGTACAAGAGTACTGTCATTTCAGTATCCACAGACTTACATAGCCAACACAGTGAGATGAAGACACAGTGAAAAACTGCCTTACATGACCACCACAGAAACCACAGGCCAACTAGATAGGGCCAGTAAATAAGAGAGAAAAGTAATTTACTGCTTATGCCATATCTGTAACATTATTTGTGAATTTACTAAGTCACTTGATGAAGGTCTTTGCCATTTAAAATTGGTGAGGCCACTGTAAGCATGGATCATCATCATTCTGTTGCATTAAGTGACATTAAACTGATTAAAGACCCACACAAGACAGCCCCAAGCTACATGAAAGTCACTGTCAAGAATATTCCTCATAAACCACTCAAATATAAGGCTGTTTTAAAAACTTGAATTTGCCTACTTTGCATACTTAATAGTTGGTGACTGTATCAATTCCTACTAGCTACATAAATCATGGATATTTATTTGCGTCCAATCTACATGACCATTTACTATAGACTTGAGGAGTTACATATTTTTACAATTCTGCTTAGCCCTTCAGCCCTAATGAACAGTAGTTTAGCAAATGGTCCAAACCTTCTAGAATTACAAAAGGTTTGCACCCTTATTTTCTCTTTTACCTATCAAACAATAGTAGCAATAGTTTCTCTAGCTATCAGGACTGCCTCTAGACACCTACATTCAATTCACTTGTGTTAAAAACAATTTATACCCAATAGCTCTATTTATAAAACTTGAGGAAAACCTTACCAAGGGGCTAATAAATCTTTTCGGAAGCATGGGAAATGAATGTTTCTCTTTGTCTCAGATATGTATGGTAAAAGGATGTTTCTTACCTGACACAGGTGCACCAAGAGGGGCTAGCTGTATCCGTTGTCCAGCTGATCCAACTTCTTTTTTATGAAAGGAAGGGATATATACTCCTGATGGGTTGTAAGCAGCACCACTTACAAAGCCAGGATTTCCTGTTGAAGTTACAGAGTTTTAGTATTTTCAGTTGCATTCAGAAAACCTTGCCCACCTTTTATAGACACTTTAAAATATATTTGCAGTACCGCAAGACTACTAAGTGTGAGTGTTCTTTCAAAGCTCCCTAGTGCTTGTCTGTTGAAAAAAAAGTATATATTCATTCTTTGCTTTGTATATTAGTTGGACCCTTTACAGCACTTTAACAGACTCGCTAAGTTGCAGATCCAGTACATCTGACCTGCAATTCATCAGGAATAAAGACAACAGAGCAGGATGAACATTTCAGTGGTACTTTCATTAAACTTAGACCACAGAGAAATATTTACACTGAGGTTTAGAGAAGGGTAGGATCTTACCTTTACGTACAACTATTTACTTTATTGGAAGCCGGTTTAAGCACTTCAGTATTTGAAAACTAGTGCTCAACAGTACTTTTGTGCTCAACGTGTTTGGTCTAAATCTATCTAAAATAATGGAACCAAACTTCTCTCGTGGAAAGTGGTGCACCACTGGAAGTTGACTTTGCTGGTTCCACAGTTAAAGGCCTGCTATAAAAGTCAGACCCAATTACCCTCTTTCTTTAACCCCAGTTATAATTCTATTGTGCCTAGTTTTGGTCCAGATCTTTCTTTAAAGCAGTGCTACCTTGGGAAGGTTGACATAACCATCCTCATTTGGAAGCTGAGAAACATTGTGTATTTACACAGAAAATTAGTAGTGAAATTATTGCTAATGGCAGAAGGCTCTGTTAGAATACTTGGACTCCCTGGTCCAAGAAAATTTCTTACTTTCTCCATGTCTGTCATCACCTTGGACAGTGTTAAGACTGCACTGGCACAATGTCCAAAGAGAAATGCTTTTCTCTAGTGGTGTGGTACTGTATTCAGTAGTATTAAATTTATGAACTACCAGGCCACACACAGTAGTTTTAATTTGGCCTTTGTCAAGTGTGAGCATTTTTATCATATTAATATTCAGCATGGTTTCAATGATAGTTGCAGTAAAACACACGATATCTGATTTGATGGGTTTTCTGTCTCCTAAACCTCTGGTTTCAGTGCAATCCCAAAATCTTCCTCTTCACACAAACAGGCCCAGTCGTCTGTGATAATTTCAGAGCTCAGAGCAGTGGATCTATAAGCTGCAAAATTTGTTGTCTACAAACCAAAAAGTTATCCACAGCTAATTACAGCTGTATTGGGTCATTGCAAACCTCCCTGTTGAAGAGCACTAACAAAAAAGCATTCAGCTAACTCAGTTTTGCCAGTCTCCCCAAACTGTCACTTCTATCAGTTCCACAAACAGTTGGGTCTCCATGTGGCTTCCCTGTGTCCAGTTGATGCCAGTCTCCAGCACAGTAAAGAATGACACAAAAAGTCTGGTGAAAAATACAACTTTAATAACGTATTCTAATATAATTTAACTTTCTTGTAGTCTTTAAGTTGTTCTTCCTTTTCAGGAATTTGCCTGAAAAACAAAACAACGCAGTTTTAGTGGTTTGTTCATCTGCCTGTGCACATTACACACATCCTCTTATTCCCCCAGTTCCTAATTATTTCACTGGGAGTGGTTCAGAGCTCTGACAGCTCAGTAGCACTCCTTAAAATTCTGAGGTCTGGAAATAAGAACATAATAGGCCTCAATTAATATAACCCCAAGAAGAATACTTCTGTCTGCTTCTTATCTATAGCTCAGCAAAGCTGCCTATCTGTCAAAAATTGCTCAACCACTTTTTGGTTCTCCTTACCTCTCAATGTCCAATGGCCTTTATGAACCCTTCTGCAGGAAATAGAAGAGTGCAGCCAGGAGGAAAGTCTGGGTGAAACAGAGAGGTCTGGAGGCGTGATCTTTTGTTGGATGAGAACAAGGGAAGGAGGAAAAAAAAAAGTTCAATATAAAATAACAGAATAACTACAAATAAAAAAAAATCCTATTGAAAGGCACAGTTCCTTACCTCTAACGACTGCTGTACAAAAGAAGGGGTTCTTGCTATAGAAGTCTTCATCCATCAGGCATCAGGAGGTCTGGCAGCAAGTGTATATGCAAGCTGTCATGGCCATGATGTCAGCAAGTGTAAGCGTGGCCTAGGCCGTACACCCTACCTCAAACAACATATCCCTGATTCTTCATAAAGGATAAAGTCATTGAATCGTTTGAGCTGGGCAGTGAGGTTAAAAATCCCTATGAATTGTTGCAATGGGACATATCACACAAGCAGCACGCACCAGAGAGGCCAGAAACTGGAGGAAAGGTGAAACACTCCAGCAGGTTTACAGTGCTTGCAGCGAACTGTGTTTAGACACAAACTATGCTGCCTGGAAACCTGAGTTTCCACCCTCTTACACGAAGGTAACTCCACCAAAATCTCTGCAATCACAGCACTGTAAAATCAGTGTAACAGAGAATCAGAATGCAGTCAGTGGCGCAAGTCCCAAGTACTGTTATGAACATGCAGTCCTTCAAGAGAGATGCATATGCTGGTTATTTTGGATCGCTTCTTCACCATTATCCAGCAATAGTGCAGTGACATGCTGTGGATTATAATTAGAGTAATAAAATATTCTCTGCCTTTTAAAGCACAATAAGTGCCAAGTGTCAAGAAGTCAAAATGAAGAGAGCAAGGTTTGACAAAACAGATTACAACTGAAAATGAAGTATACGATCATCTGGAATCTGCATTGTAAGTGCAATTTTTACAAGAATGTAAAACATAAATAGGAATTGTACAACGAACCAAGCTATAATTGCTATAAATTACCTTTTGGATCCTCTAATTTTTCATTCAACCTTTCTTTGCATGATAGCTTTTCAATAGGTATAATTAAGTTCTCATCTGTAGACAAGGAAAATGAAAGGAAGAAGAAGACAGAAAGAACTTCAGAAAAAGTGTATGGAGAACCTGGCTAGGTGATGTAAAAGAAATAAGGGAAAACAAAGCAAGAAAGAATAAATATCTGACATTTTTGTAACTATAATGTCATAATTCCTATGTTTTCTCAGTTCCTCTAACAAGTTACTTTTCAAGGTCCTTCCTAATAATGGAATAAAAATGTGATTTACCAATGATGTAATAATGTTCCAGTCACACAAATACATAAATCACAAGTTTAAGCACTCAGGTGTATCTGCAAATTTGACTGATCATAACGTTACGATTCTTCACAAAGAAAGCATTTGTAACTATTTGCTCTTATCTTATTTCACCTTAGGGCAATGTTGTGGATGAGGAATAAAAATAAGCACTTAAATAAACTAAACATAGTTATTTAAACAGTAAACAGCACAGTGTCAACTTTCAATTCTGTCAACATGAAAAAAGAAAACATGCATAATTTACATGTATTGTATTTCCGTGATTGGTGCTGCAGCTATCCTAGTTTCACGTGTATCTGTCTTAAATGTTTCTGCCTCCCCAGTATATGAAACATCACATGGAATTTAAGATGCTGATGGGAATAATACCAAGTATTTTCCAACATACGAAATAATCAGTTTTAGATTTTATTTTCTTTAAACTTTTGGTAGATACCCGAAGTAAGCCCGTAAGACAAAAGCAGGGTTTTTTACATTAGCATTCATCTTAATTTTATTTTCAGTGCAATTCAATAGGTAGATATCTAGCTTATAGATGCATACTTTTGGAAACAACCCTTTGCCCTTTTGTGCCTAATTCCCTTGCAAGACTATTTTATGAATATATGAATTAATTCCCCTGCACCCAGATACTATATTTCAGAAACTAAAAACGTACATATGATGATTGCTTAAAAAAGCCTCTTCTATTCCACCAAAATTCCAGTAGGCGCTGTTATTTTTCCACTTTGTAAAGTCTTTCACATAATTTCAGATGAACAACTTGCAGCTCACCTGACTTGCAGAGGGAAAATCAGGTTTGTTGACACTGCAGAATGGCTACTAAAGTTCTATTAAAAAGGGGTGCAGCACCTGCATGTAAACAAACCTTCTAAAGTTCTTTCTGTACAAGCATATAAGGCTAGGTGGTTTATGGGCATTAAGTATTTAGGAGTGACTCATGCTAGCTGGACAATGGCTGCAAGGTTGTTAACAAGGTAACCTCCTATAACAGGGTGATGGACTCTGTACTTAAAGTATAGGGCTTGGTGGTCAGAAGATAGATTTTAGTCTTGAGTCTGATGCTTTCCTCAGTGAAACCTTAGATAAGCTGTTTAACTAGTCTTAGTCTTCACTCTATAAATAAATGCTGATAATAGTGTTCTTCACAAAATGTAGTACCAAAAGGCACCTCACTGCAAGTTCCTTGCTGAAAATAGGGGGAATTTTCATGGAGCATTTAGGACAAGGCGAGTCGATTGTTAAAAGACATGTTTAGAATATTAAGCCGTACTTTTATTACATGAGTGCACCACCCACCATCTTGTTTTCGTAAGTGAGACTGCTGTTTGATAGTGTTCCACGGCACACTGACCAGGCAGTAATAAGGTCAAACTATTTGCTTAAATTAACACGGTGAAATAATGGTCTAAATAATGGTCTAATTTATGGACAAAATTTATCTGACAGAACTTTATAACAGGGGCTGGTCTATACTTCCTGTATGCTTTGAAAGCAAAACATATAGTATACATATGAAGAAGTTGTTATTTTAAGACTCGGTCGTTAAAACAAGAAAAAAAATGTTAGCTAGAAGCTAAGCTTGACAACAGAAGTTAAACCAGATGGTCTTAACTAAATTAATTAAAGAAAATATGATGAGATATAATGTGACCATTTTTAATTACACTTTTACCTGTAGTATTTCTGTTGAAAGTCACTCCTCCTCCAGTATGTGCCAGCTGTTTAGAAAACAACTGGTTGTTCCAGGTTCCGTGTGATCCTTCTTTACTGACTGCTACTAAAGAGACACTCTTAGGGTTTACACCTTTGAAAACAAATTATGGAAAATGTTATAAATATCAATTTTGAAACATAATTCAACCAATGACAAATGGACATTTGTAGAACAGGAAAACAGCACTGAATTATTTGTGGCATAATGTAAACACCATTAATATAAAAGAACAATATCCATTGATTAGGTTCGATTTTTCAGCCAAACCATGAAAATTAGAGACACTAACTTAAGAACAATTCTCTTCACGCTTTCAAGAGAACTTTTAAAAGCCTTTTTAGTACAGTTACTTAGTTTCTATAAAACCATAATATCATTATTGATATTTTTGACTCTCAAACAATTAACACAAATTAAAAATACCTATCAAAACCTAGGGTTTTCAAGGCTGAAAAGAAACTACTTCTTCAAGGGATAAATGAAAAAGTAGGACAAAGAAGTTCTTGTTACTTCAGCATGTTATGAGCATTATAAGAGTTAATGGGATTACACAGCATGAAAGCGGCTCCCAGATCTAGTGGTAACAGAACTAAACTAATATGAATAAATAACAAATATGCTCCTTGGAGCTATTATTCTCCTAAGTACTGAAATTAATTAATTATTTTTTAGATCTATGCCTTTCTCATTGAAAACTCTACTAAAACCAGAGAGACATTAGAAGCATGCTTAAAAAAAGATAAGAGATGAACTTTCCATTTGTGTTACCTTTAGATAGGGAAGCCCCCCCCCTTTTTTTTCCCCCCTTTTTTTTCTTTTGGACTAAAACTGTTGAGTCTCTTGGCATCCTATTTAACATTCAAGAAGTGATTTCATATTCAGAAGTCATCACTGGCCTACTGGCCTAATGAAGTCCTGAGAAATTAGTGATACTTTGTAACAAATCAACTTGCCTGACAATCAGGAATTTCTCTGTGAGCCACTTAAATTCTCATATGTGAATTACAGTAAAGTCATGATACCCTACAGTAATAGTGCAAATTATCATGGTAATAAAGAAAAGCTACTGAGTCACCAAGGAAATAATTTGATTATAGAATATTTTCAGAATACTAACTGAAGGAAACATTCCCTTTTCTTTCTCCCCCTTCCCATTCTTATTCTTAGAAATTACATCATATCATGTTATTTTCCTGATAAAATCACCCTTGGGAATGGAAGTGAGTGTGTGAATTCCTACCAGTGCGAGTGGCTGGCATTTCTAAACACTTCCTACCGGGAAGGATAACAGTGCTTGTCAGAACTTTAAGTCCAAAAAACCCCAAACCTCCTGACACTGCAAACCTGAGAACTATGCAGTATATTGGATTCATATTACTGAGGGTTTTATATGTTACTGGTCATAAAGGGGCCTGTGAACTTTTATGGTGTACAACCAGTGTGGAGCTCCATTCCATATTTACATAGCCAGGAACTTCTGCATCAATTGGGATGAGATACATTCTGGTAAAGGCATTTAGTCCCAAACTTGAAAATTTAGCCTGGTTCTGAAAAGCAAAATTATCAAGTGTGAAATGCAAAGTTTAAATGTACTATATGCAGATTGTTCACAGCTTGTATTTTCCTTATGTATTGACTTTTACCCTTACCAGGTAGATATCTTGATTGTCTTAGATAGTACTGTTTTGCTGATGTATTTGATCTTCCAGAATCATTCGTCATCAGAATCTTATTTTCCCCTCCTGGCTGGATACTGCATGAAGCTTTTGGTTCTGGCATACTGAAAAATCAAAATGTTCAAACAATGTGACCAACAACTCCAGCTCAGAATACCAAAAGATGACCCTAGCCTGAAGAGCATAGTACTCTTTTCTTCTCCTACTTTCATCAGTAGAATTTATTCTCACAAAGTAACAGCCAAATCTCACACCTCATGAGAGTTTGACCTGTGACTTTGAAGTAAAAAGTGTACCCAATGCTATAGCATAAAAGCAAATGTGGATAACTGTGGCAGAACTTAGTATCAAACTTAACCAACAAAGGAAATTAAGTTAGTATCTCTGATTTTAGTAAAACACAGTTTCTTAATAACAGGACAAACAGTTAAACCATACAGTGCCTGAAAACAAATTTGATTCCGTTTGGATATTACTGGCGCTATCAACACCACACCCAAAGCTGGTCTGCTTATACAGCTCTTTGAATTCTAGCAGATTTGTCTTAATCTATAAAGCTACTGGATGTTTTACTAAAAAAAAAAAATAAATGTGATTTTATAATTATAGTACTTACCTAAAAAGACACTCCTTGTTTTTCTTTTCCTTTAACAGTGCAATGCTAGGCTTCTTTGAACATGACATTCCAAATTCTGTGTCATCCAAGTCATCCCAGCTATCCACAGCCTTTACCAAAGTCTGACCCCATCGTCTTCTGCAGCTTTTAGGACCTACTGCACCATTCTGAGGGCCACTTGCGGCTTGTTTCTATTTTAAATAGGGGGGAAAAAAAAAAGAAGCTTCAATTCAATTCTAAAATTTTACATTTTGTATCTAGTTCACTTCCTGACTACCACTTAAGAACTTCGAGGGAATTTTTCCCATTGTGTTGTGCTTATTTTAGTCATAGTCTCAGACTCATTGTAAGCACAAAACAACAATAATGCCAGCAGGTATTTTGAGTGTAGCTCTTTTGGACCATCATCCTTAAATTGCTCAGATCTACCTGAAGCAGTGAAGTTAACATTCTATTTGCAGACCCAGTTCAGTGCTCAGCCTCTACTACTGTTATCTCACTGAACTCACGCTCTCAACAGTGGCAGATGAACTGTCAGTAAGTAGGGCACAGTGGTGTAAAACATTTGCAGCAACCACACTTTAGTTTAGGAGTTTAGGAGTGCTAGTTGCTGTGGCCCCCAAGTAAATACAACAAATAAAAAAAGTTAGTTAGGCCTTTCCTTAACAATCCTTTGGAAAGAAATTACTAGATTTTAAAACTGTCCTTTCATCTGACTATCATTTGCTTTCCAGTATTTTCCGTACACCTATTATTTTTTAACGTATTTTATATTATAGTTCAGTGAGCATAAGTGGAAAGCAAAATGAAGATTACAAACCAAAGTTTAATACACATCTTGCTAAAATCTTACTCGTTAAATTCTTACAAGCTTAGGAATTGGATGAACTTTCTCAGGTATTTTCCTGCTTGAGGCAAGTAAAGTTCTCCCTTTCCACTTCTGTATTGTATGCTAACAATATTCTTGTGAATTGTGTCTCAAATAAATGATAGCTGCTGTAACTACGTTACTGCATAAGCATGTCAGTAAAGGTTACTATAAATGAACATACATTGTTGTTACAAGCAATCTATTCTTCTGATTTGCTGTAAAATTTCAGTAAGTGGCCAGTTATATCCTTAATTAGTCCCTATCTATCTATATGTATTTCCTAACAAAAGAAAATTATGACAATTTTCAAGGAATAGCCTAGTTGAATATAGTAAGATCTTTTAATAAAACCACCTAAGAATTTATTGAAGATAACTTACTGGCGATGAGTTTTTATTGATAGTTGGAAAAAACAGTTGTGCCTGTGGCTGCTGCTGTTTTGGTACTTGCTGGTTAGCTGTATTCTGAGGCAACTGAATTTGCTGGAGAGGCTGGTGGTTAACCTTTGACAGGGGCTGTGGCTCTGTTTTGTCAGGTACATCAGGTGAAGACAGAGGTTCTGGCTTGGATATAGCTTCCAGTTTAGGTAAAGCTGGCTTTGGCTCTGTTGGCTGAACTGGTTTAATAGGAGTCTGCTTCTCCAGATACTGTGGAGGAGGTCCTAAAACTTGGCCAACTTGAAAGTAAGAGTACTTCAAAGCCTGGAGAAGAAGGTATAACATACTAAATTTATTTCAAAAACTTGACTTTGGTAACCTCATCAAGGATCTAAGCAGGTTTCTGACGCATTTGAACAACGTCTACAGCACAGATGCAAGATGGATGCATAATGAGGTCATCTGTAAACAGTGCGTATTGATAACGATCAGTTCTGTATTTTAAACTCTTCCCATCATATAATTTAGTAAGATGGATGCACTTGTACATGTTACAGCAGTCATGTCCTTTCTTCCCCTCCTTTACTTCTAGGCTTTGTGGAGTCTGTGTTTTGAGGTGCATTTTACATTCAATACCATTCTATATTCATGCAGTAACAAATTTCAATCTTAAAACAGGTAGTCTCCACTACCTTTGCCACATGCCTTATTACATGTTTCTACAGCTAACTATGTTTTGGCAGCTTGATGAACAGCTTTTTTTTTATTATTAAAAAAACCCCCAAAAATCCAGAAGTGTGATGATTGCCATTTAATACTAACGTATGGGGTTTACAATTAAAGGATGTTAACAAGCAAAGTTTCTCCTAATTCTTCTTAATCACCAGCGCTCCCTGGTTTTGTTCTGCTTTAAAATATATTTACTCTGCTTCTCCGCTTGCTGTGCCTTCATAGTGTTTATCAGGAAACTACAGTGTCTGTCTTCAGGCAGACACGTATTTCATTTTCTCTGACCTTTTCATGTCCCCTGCTTAGATGCACATCATGGACACACCTTACTAACACAGCTCCTCCTACGACAAAACAACACACTCCGCTACTCCTGGGTAGGATCCTACTCTTTGTTAGTTCTCAAAGAGATGTTTTGCCTCAGCTACACTTGAGAATTGCTGCCTTTGTTCAGATTTCCATGTATACACATTAAACTCTCCCTTTTGGCTGTGGATTACACAACTGCTGCAGCTGCTTCCTTGAGAACTTACTTGGGTAAAAGCTGGTTATTTGCTTTCATAAATCACCATGCAGTATTCTGTGTAGAGATATATAGCACCGGACTACAGTTAGATCTCAGTGACTGTAACAATAGATATGCTTTATAAAGTGGAAAGAAATGGTTGCTCTACTTGGTACCATCTGCTTAACCACTTCTGAATCACTTAAATTACATCCACCTAGGGTAACTTGCAATATGTCCTTTTTCTTTCTCAATTGTATTACCCTCTTATACCTTCTAAATAGAATTGCATTAGGTATGAATACTAAAAAAAACCCACCAAAAATTAAAAAAAAAATCAGTAGAACATAACCATCATTGGTTCTCGAAATGTTTTTTGAGAAAAACTGTGACCTTTGTGACCTATTGGTATGTTCTTCACAAAGTTCTTTCCTTATTACTTAGCACAGTTCACACACCATCTCCATGTAAAAATAATCCTTAGCTCTTCCATACTGCATTCCAGCTACAGCTCCACAAAAAACCAAAGCTTAATTTTCAATATCCCCCTTTGTATGGATGGGGGAGGAAAAAGAACGTGGCAGAAGTAACTCATAGTTACAATTCAGGAAATTTGCAGCTCAGATTTTTCTCTACCCCGTACAGAGAAAGTTTTAGAATATGCCAATACAGAAGACAACATCACAGAAGTAACTAAAGAGTTTATGTCTGCTGAGCCAGGTTTAGAACTTTCTCTCCTCACTACTAAGTCTCGTTCCCACCAGTGTTTAAAATGAGGAGATGTTTCTCTGGCCATGAGTATTATGACAATCAATTGCCTTCTGTATCTACAATTTTTTTTAACAATGCAAGAAAATTCAGTCTTATACTTAATCATGCAGGTGCTCAGACCTGACTTGCTGTAGGTCTCTTCTTTGGATTCCAGTTGAGCATATCACTCATAAGCTGTATCGCTTCACTGCTTGCATTTGGGATGAGAGTTTTTAGGCTTATAGGGACACATTGTGGGAAACGGAAATTCATGGCAGAAGCAAGGTGGTATCCTTCTGGCCACTCACTCTGTTACAAAGAAAAGAAAAATGAACACCAAAGAACAAAGACACTACATCTTTGAGGTATTAGATCAAATTTAATTTTATGCAGCTTGAGTCACACTTGGTCTGCGTAGCTCCTTCCTATATGGTGGAAAATAGGCATTCCTATTTTCCATTACAATTTTTACACCACCAGTGAACGCAGCGTCAGTCTCAATGGCAGTCCTTCTCAAGTTCTCCTGTAGGTAAAGGTGGAACCATCATTGTGGATACCATACTTGGATGTATTCTATCTGAAGGAGAAGAGAATGCAGCAGTACCAGGAGCAGTACCGAACACCCCATCTACCACAGCCATGAGCTCAGTTGACTTCAACATACCTTCTTTTATGGGAATAGTAGAGGTGAGGCCCTTCCATGCAGCATACCATGGTTGTGTAACCATGATGCAGCCTATACAATATACCACCGATTCCACCATTAAGCGAGTCCATGATTAAATTACAACTAGACACTACTGCAACAGGAAAAAGCCATGACTACCCAATGAAAGCCTTTTATTTTTGTTTCACTTTCCAAAAGTAAACCCTGAAGTCCTTTGTTGCTTGATTGTTTGCATACACAACCATAGGATTATCAAAGACCTCAAGAGATCATCTAGTCCATGCCCTTGTCCCGTTGTGACAGGTGTTACTTTCAAAAAGCTTCCAGTTTTGGCACTCCACAAGTGCTTTAAACAGTCTATTCCAGAACACAATTCTCCTCAAGATAAGAAAAATGTAGATTTCTCTTATGACAATAAAAGACCATTGCTGAGTGTGCTATTATCCAGGGATACCAACAAGGACTATTTCTTTCTTCTCTCTAGAACAGCCTTTTTATATGTTAGAAGGTGTATTTCTTCTCCTTGCTTCCAGTCTTCCTTTGTATAGGCTAAAGAAACCCAAACAATTTAATTTCTGGGTCTAGGCTTTTTATGTTTTTCTTCTTCTCTGGACTCTGATTTTTCTTTCTTGAAAGGCAAAGCTTTAAACTGGATAAAATGTAGCAAGTGGAACAGAAAGATTAGTTCATACCTCAGTGGGCAATACTCCTTTCTCTACACACTGGTATGGTATTTGTCTTTGTTGCAACAAAACACTGTTGATGTACAGTGCACTATATAGGTCCTACATCATCTTCTACAGATGTGTTAACTGGATAGTTATCCCTAGATATTTACATATCTGATTATTCCTACCTAAGTACAGCACTCTACATACTACTGAAGAAAATTTTTTAAAGCTACATCTCTAATTTTACAAAGACACTCTGAATTCTAATCTTGTCTTCTAACATACTCAGTCCTTCCCAGCCTGCTATCTACCAACTTAAGTAGTAAAATCGATTCCATCAGAAGGCCTTTAATACAATTCTAAAATTTCATCAGATGCAGAATCGCTCAAGAGTCCTACTCAATCTTTAATTTTGAACGGGAACCAGTAAAGTTACTGTCTGAATAAGGCTTTCATAATAGGTATGCACTGAGCATGCAGTTTGTTTATATAAATATTCTGATAAGAACGTCATGAGGGATGGCATCAGAGACCTTAGTGAAGACGACGTATGATATTAGCGCTTCTTCTCTATCCACAAAGCTTGTTACACTGCTACAGGAGTAAGTTGGATTTATTTGATAGAATTTGGTCTTAAGATACAATGTTAGCTATTATTCGTCATTTTATGTACAACAGTTTTAGCTCTGTTAACACAGTCTATGGTAATCAAAGAACTCAAATATAATTATAAACCAAGTCCAGTTAAAATAAGTCTCAGGAATTCAAGTGACTTCCTGTTTCACCTCAGAGAATTATTTGTTCATTTTAATTAATGGAGATAGACTCTTTCCTCCTCTGCTCCATCTCCGTCCTTTATTGGAGTTGGTGACATTCTGTCTGCCAGAGGTAGTGATAAAGGAAGGATTTAGAACAAAGCAGCAAAGGCTGTGTGCGGAACTGGTGAAGTGCAGGGATATGGTGAAAATAGTAAAAATGCAAAAATGAAAAATACATTCCGATTTATAAAAAAAAAAAGGAATGATTTACAGTGCCATTGCTAACCTTCAACTAATGAAAATGCATTTCATTACTGTCTCCTTTTCATATTGTCATCAGCTTTTTCATTAAATTGTCACACTACAAGCATACCATCACTGCCAGTCCTCGAATGGTGCAACTTACTGCTTTGTTTATAAAATAAATAAAGCAACATTTTGTAAATAAAGCAACTTCACTTATAAAATAAAGCAAAATGTTGCCTGTCACTATTTAAAAAATCCAAACTCACAGAAGTAATCGGTATGGTATTATAGACTTAAACATAGGAAGGCAAATTGGAATGATGATAGCTTCTGGGCATAAATTCCCGTCATTCCTTATTACAGGATAATGGAATAAATGAGAATGTATGTCTGAAAAAAATACTATTTGCAAAACTAACTGCAAAACCAGACTATTAAAATAACTGCTTACGTTTTTTAGAATGCAGAACAGTACTTCACTTGTAACAAAGGCATCATTTGTTGTGATAATTCCTATAATAATATTTAAGTACTCTTCTTACACAGTTATCTCCCTGAAGAATGCCTTAGCATTGTCATAAGGAGATAAAATTCCCAAGTCTCCCAAGCAGATAACAGGGGCACAAAGGAACTAATTACTGCTTCCTGATCCTAAAGGGCTAGCTTTACAGTGTCTCTAACCCTTAGGGTCTTTAGAAGAGGCTACAGTCTGTTCTGAAACACTCAGCTGGTAATGCTCCCTGCATTCCCAAGCTTGCTAGTCAGAGAACATCAGAGTGTAACCAGTCACGATTTTTTTCTGTTCAACTACTTATAAGGCTAGAGAAAAACCACAGCAGTTAGCTCGGCGCTGCTGTGCTACTACACACAGTGAAAATCTCTCTGATCTCCCTGCACTTCCAAAACTTGTTTATGCTATACATTGAAAATGTTCCAGAAGCTAGTATGTTGCTTTTTCACAGATATGCTGAACATACATCAAAATGTTCTTCTTACTATCCTAGACTTGTGAGCTGCTTAAGAAACTTAACATCTGTGTTTGAAAACTCACGTCTTAAAATACTGCTCATATTACATATACACTATTTCTGATGCACAATTGTCATAGCAGGTACTGGTTTACACATCATAACAATTTTCACTTAGTCCTCTAGACTCAATTTTCACTTCCTCAACATATCATCTATAACTCTCCACCTCTGACCTTTTATCTCTGCTCTGTCATGACCTTGCACCTGTTTCTCAGTATGTTCTCTTGGATGTTTTCCCATGTTCCTAGCTAAGCTTAATTTATTTCTGTTTTAAGTTTCCTGTTCCTCATTTCTCTATTGAGAACAGCTTATTTCCTGGACAAGAATTATGCTATATCTTATATCAATAGAACACTAACAAAATTGATGTTTTTCTCTCCCACCTGTAGATTTTCCAGATTTAGAAACTGTGTTCAGTCAGTTATTTCACCAAGTACTGTTTGCTCCCATGAAGTACTGATATGCACCTGCCATCTCTTACCTTATTCTCAAAAAATTATTTATATTACATGGTCTTTTTTTAGTTTATTCAAGATTTTGAAGGTAAGCTTATTATTTTCTTGCATGTTCATATATCCATTTGCTAAAAAAACTTAACTGAAGAAAATACAATTGCATACATTTTTACATGCACTATCCAAATCATCTTTGTAATTTTTAGTAGTACTTAGCCCGACCAGAAAATAATGGAAAATAATTGCTTCCTCTCCAAAATACTGCATATTTTTCCTCCATTGCTGTTTACTGCTAATAATATTTTCGAGATCTGTGTTCAAGATCCAACATTTCCTTTATGCTTTAAAAATAAGAAAAGCCTAATGTGTCTTATTTATGATATCTTCTACAAGCTCCAAGTTCTGAGTGCCAGCCTAGAAGAATTACACTTTCAGGAAAGGAGAGCAAATCGGCTGTGGCAAAATGAAATCCTAGGAGACTTCTGATTTTCTTTCCAATATGCACAGCTTTAAATAACTAAATTCAACAAGTTTATCTGGCTTTCATCAGATGAGAGCAAGGTTACACATAATGGTATTATATACAACAGATGCTAATATACAACAAAAGAATAGCATTACATGTCTTAATAGAAACTTAAAATAAATACAGTTGACAAAACCGTACGTCTGCAAGAAACTTACTAAAACAATAATTTATATGTATGTTCTGAAAGCGATAACATTCAATGTTTTATAATAATTTTACTTTTTTTTAAAAAATACAATTGTGTGAGTTTTTCCAAATCTTACCTTCTTTGGAGTCCCTAATACTTGGCAAATTTTGAAGATTTCATCTACTTCACTTGTGCCTGGGAAAAGAGGTCTTAGTGTGTATAATTCAGCCATTATGCTGCCAACTGCCCACATATCAATAGGTGAGCTATAAATAGATGATCTTAGCAAAACTTCAGGAGCACGGTACCTATGAGGATGGAAAAAAATAATAGCTAAATTAAAAAGGTAAGAGAAAGGTAAGTAGTTAAGACAACGTATTAGCTTCTTAATATACTTACCACCTGGTAGAAACATAATCTGTATAAGGTGGCTGAGATCTTAGTTCTCGAGCCAAACCAAAATCTGCTATTTTAACAAGCTCTGGTCCAATACAGAGAAGATTTTCAGGCTTCATATCTCTATGAAAAAATCCTATAGAAGACCAGACAGAAAAGAATAGTGAATTATTTTGTCATCACTTGTTAAACAGCAACCTCTAATAGAGTAATCCAAAATTTACTTTGGGATGTTTTGGAAGAATATAGCTTTTTTTTTTTATTGTCCTTTTTTGTGTGTAATTGAACATAAGAGAATGACAACCCTCCCCCAACAAGCACACACATTTTCCCTTCAGTGATTAATACACCAAGGGTTCTTAAATTAACAAATGTTATTAACACTATAAGGAAAATGAATTGGCTATTGCAGCAACATCAAACAACAAACCAATTTCAGAATGAAATGTTTTGCAAAAACTACAACCGCTTTGTCAGTTTTGGTTAATGGAAAATTGAGCATCTGACACACTTACTTGATTTATAAAATTCCTTGAACGATTTTTAACTAGTTTAATTTTTCATTGTGACAACAATTTGCAGGCATAGACATATAAGAGATATAAAATTTCTACTCAGGAATGCTAATATTAGTAATGCAGGCACATGAAGTTTCTTTAATGCTTGCTATTGGCTTGAGCACCTCTGTACCTGGAAAGCAGTTAAATCGCTAAACAAATAAATTTTGCTGTTTAATTAGTACACACAATTTGTTATGACATAAATCAATTTGATTGAAATTCACTTGCTACGATAAAACATTTGATGCCTGCATGCAGACTGACAACTACTGTAAGAAACAGGCTGAAATGATTACAGTGAAATGTAAGTGTTCAAATTTATCATACCTGTCCTTCCCAAACACTTATGGTCGAAACAAAATATTAATATCGTAACTTGGAAACAGCAGGTTTTCTTAAATTCTAATTTTTTCATTTATTTCATGTAGAAGTGAGGAAGGAAAAGAGGATGCTAATAATCAGAGAACATACATGATCTTGATCAGAAAGACACAGAAACGGCAATTTCTGGGTATTTGATAATACTGAACAGAACTAATTATTTATTTGAATTCATCAACAGGCCTTGACAGGGTACAGGAAAGCCAGTCAGAGATCTCTGGGAACATTGTTTCTAATTTCATTCTCAGCGAATATTTTAATGTCTTTGGAAAGTTTTAAGGAAACCAATGTGATGTGAAGGACAAGTATAAAATAAAAGTTGAGCAAGAGAGTAAATTACTACTTTTTTAAATGCAAAGGAGCTTAATACCAGTCTTTCAGAATGCAGTTTGCAGACAGATACTAAACATGAGCATTAAAAGTTTTGTAAATGCTGTGAAACGTTTTGTTGTGTAGTGAGTACACAGCACCTCTTATTTAGACTGTACTTGTAATTCCTAGAAAAGTCCCATCTCTTAAAATATTTAAATCCAGGTTGTATTTAATAAGGAGACTGTTTGAATGTCTTAGTGAACAAGTTATTTTAATTTTTTTTTTTAGATGTAGAGTATTATATTAGTTATAGTATCTCAAGACAGGAGAAACTGCCATCTGTAAAGTATCAATGCTCCTTAAATAGATCTTTTTGAGGAAGTGAAATGCATGGTATAGCACAGCATACAAGTTGCTTCAGTTTGTTTATTCATCTGGAAAAAAGTACGAACAATATCCAATGCTTTCAAAAAGAAAGAGAAAAATCTGATTATAGGGAAACAGTGTATAACTTCAGGTATGGTTTGAAAATGCACCATACTTGAAAAAGATAAGAGTAATTTTTATTAGAGATAATTAATAGCCTTTGCTAGATATTTTAGTCATCTTATTACTGTGCATTATCTTATTTTCTAAAAAAGTAGTACACAGTTAAACTGTAGTATGAAACCTACCGTGTTTATGGATAAAAGCTAGTCCTTGTAATATCTGATACATCATGTTTCTGATGACTGACTCGGGGAACAACTTGTTTCTGTGAAGAAACAGATTAATAACTTCACATAATTATAGAAATAATGTATTTTCAGAACATATGTGTTTCTTCATTTTGCATGACACATCATGAACAGACAAAACCAGACCCATCAAGTCTTGCACACAAAGACAGATGCAACTAGTTCTCATCTCAAAATTTGCTTGCTGCCAGGCTGTAATTTCACTCATTTTAAGTGCTGCAGAGAGGTTCATGATCCTATCTCTTCTGTAGAAGCTGGTTGGCCAGTAGCGTGCTCAGTACCGTAGCAAGGAAGAGTGCACAGCGCAGCACTCTGGTAGGTGTGCTACCCAGTGGTACCCTTAAAGGAACCCCGATTGAGACCAATGCTTCTCAACTGTAGGGTAGCATTGTGCTAATATCACTAGCCACTATCTCAGGATGCAAACCTATGAGCTTTGCACATTAGGAGATGAATGACAATGTCTGAAGGAAACACGCATTTAAGGCAAAAGTATTCAGCAAAGAAAAATGTTACTGAAAAGGCAGGTCCTATTCCAAAGTCTACCTTGCAAGCCTTGCTATGCACTCTTTGTCCAAGATTGCAACATCACACAGTCAGTCCACATATAGGTCTTTCTTATGAGCATGCATGTACATGCAGATGACCATCCCCACCTTAAGCCAAATCCATGAGCAAAAGCAGAATGAACAGTGTTTATCCAATCCATCATACACTAAAGTGAAGGCTAATAAAGGAAAAAAAAAAAAAGTAGTATTTGGAATTTCTGTCATGGCTCTACACACCAAAGACATGCAAACTATCATGTTAACAACTGAAAGAAACAGTTATTTCCCAAAGCAGTACAATATAGAATATTGTAATGCAGAGCAAAGCAGAATTCTACCCTCAGATAACCAGGTGCTGCAACTCCTGTTCACAGCAGTGGGGCTGCAAGAAGATCCAAACCCAGAAATTCCAATGTGTTCTTCAAGATAGCATAGAAATCATTAAATAAAGCATGGTCGCACCCTATTTGTTCTGTGAAAAAGACATACCTGTCCTTCATTAACTGATAGAGGTTTTCCTTCATGTATTCAAATACAAAGTAAAGGTGGTCATTTTCTCGTATGACTTCTTTCAATTTGATTACATTGGCATGATTTAACTTCTTCAGAGACTGTAACAGAGCAAAATATAGCTTCAGAGAATTCAGTGACTTTAATTCCATATCAGAACTAAATTTTTAACATGTAAAAATTTTTAGCACAGAATTTACATAACATGTCCATCTGACAATCTGTACTTATCTTCCATGTGTTTCAAAGAACTAAAAAATAGCATTTTAAATTAATTTCAAAATAAAAGCAGCAATGATATTAATAGTAGTTTAAAATTTCTATTTTTAGGGATTACATGATGGCTGTGGTGAAGATTAACACAAAAACCTAATTCCCTACAGTGAAAGAGAGTTCTGAAACTGTAACAGCTCTTGCTTACAGAATTATATGAGAAAACCAGCAACTTTTTTGGTTTGAAACTTTCATGAACAAGGACTCTTACATGCATTCTTTTTGGAGATACTGATTACACGCAATCTCCAGTAAGTTAAACCTAAATTATGGATACCCAACTCCTTTGTTAGGGAGTTTTGTATATACAGAAAATCAGATGTCCAAAACATGGGTTGACTTGGAATTTAAACCCAGGATTTCAAGTGTTATTCTACCATTAGGCTTGCCAAAACTCCCAGTGCTTTCTACAAATGCCCTGAATACAAGATGTAAGGACTGGATATACACCTAGAAATCTGCCAGTAAAATGAAAGACCAGGATGGTAACACACACACAATCGATTTCTTTATCTTCTCTCAAAGACAAGAAGCTTGGCTATGAGACATGGCCACTGTTTGATAATAGTGGGATATTCCACAAAGCAGCAGGAGCTCTAGGAGTGCCAGCAGTCCATGCATTTGCAGAATCTGTCACCCCCATTTGAAGAGTTCACAGAGTTCGGCCATATGCTTGGACATTGTAGGTGCCCTTTTCCTTCATGCAAGCCTAACCAGACACTTATTTTTAAATGTGTTTTAATTTTAAACATTCACCACTTTACCTTGACTTCTCTCAAATTCATACATTCGTCCCATGAATAGAACTTTCTTTTCATTCTGAAATGCAAGTTCAAGTATTTTCAGTGAACAGTAAAAAATGCTCTTAGAACAAAAGTCTAAACATGCTATTTTCCAAGTGTAGCATAAGCTGCACTTTGAACTCAATTTAAAACATTCTAGAATACCCATCAGCAAGATAATTAAAACCAAACTCAACTCTTAAAATTGCTAGAAATTTAAGTGTTTGATGATTAATAACTGCAAATGTATTTTACAGGAGTAGTTAGTCAGAGAGACCATGATACTCCAAGGTATTTATAAAAACATCAGGGACACAAAATCTCTTTGTATCATTTGAATTGTGCTCTTAATAACAAGGAAAGCAACAGTGACAGTGCATATAAAACACGGATATTTCAAACTAGAAAAATAAGCTCCTTGTGCCTAAGTTGCACATTCTAGGAAAACAAGAAAATTATATTTTTGAAATCTGAAAAGTATTGTGACTGCTTAACATTATAATTAAGCATCTGACTTGTAAACCTAACAACATTTTTAGAACGAAGCATGTTTGAACTGAACAAAAACAGTATGCAATTTTAAAAGCCACGATAAATCAGTAACTTATACTGACGTATCTCACTATTGATCTGTTAGCTGCAATCTGATCCACAATCACCTTGTTAATAGTATTAATTAAAAGTTAATTTGTTAATTTTGTTAATTTCCTTAGAAAAAACGTCCCTTTTCTTTTTATTCTACACAGATGGCAGACAACAATAAAGCTAAAAGTTAAAATCTTTAGGCTTTTGTAAGTACCTTTACTGAATTTAGATGTTACGTACCTTTTGATAGCCACAAGTTCTCCTGACTCGTTGCTCTTCCCCATCAACACACTGCCGTAGGTGCCATCACCTAGTTGTTTCATGATTGTGTAACGGTTCATGTTTAAGACCCAGATAGCCAATAGCTTATGAAATTCTAAATGTCTTCTGTTCTATTAAAAGATTCTATGCTCTTTGATTTTCTTCGAGAAATCTACTTCCAGACTGTTCTATGTTGGTGAATGTCTTTTCATAATGGAGCAAGATATTCACTAGTCTCCGCAAAATTACAGGTACTTTGAGATCCAGATATAAAGTTTAGGAGATAGAACAACACGGTCATTCTCACATAGATCCTTAAAAAAAAAAAGGGGGGGGGGGGGGGCAAATATGTAATTTTACAGTATTTTAGGAAAGAGTCTCTCTACTATTTGTACCTAACAATAATAACCTCCAGATCTGTAAGTGTTCTTTAAATGGAACACTTCAATATAACTAGTTCCTTTTAATCCTTCAAACCACAGAAGGTGCCTAGTCTAGGATTAGGGTTAGAGTAAGCAGGGGCCAGAGAGTCAAGATCACTGTCATAATTCCCTAGAACCAAAGAAGCGTGTTTAAGGCTGGTGTCCTCTGATGGAACTCCTTATTCTTAATTTACAGACAGCAGCAGGTTCCTAATCTGTAATGAAGGCAGGGCTGAAGTTTGGGAAAACAAAGGAACCCAAATTTTGCAAATGGTGCTATGGTAAACCTGGAGTCTGAATGCTGTGTTTTGGATTGATAACTTCAAGCATAGCGAGCCTGCTTGTGCTAAGTGAGCAAGGGAGGTGAAGAAGCGAAATAAATGCTGCATTCTTCACCAAGGTAAATTGAGCTGTTATAAATGTACTCTGTTATATTGCTCTGAAGTTCACAGAATTCTTACTCTATAGCCACAGTTAGGATTAGGCATAGTAATGGCTGAAGAGTTAAGCTTATTGTTCAGTTTTATGAGGCCTGCAGAGAGAAGTATAGAGCTCACACGCATCAGTATGGCAGACTAGATCTGAATTGTCATTTGGAAAAGAATTCACATTAAACAATGTTGAATCTTCATTTCTAAGTATATGTAAACCTTAATGTGAATCCAGATCCAAACTTGAATCTGAACCCTAGCTTTCATTATACACAATACTATCTGTCACCAACACTTCAGATGAAGGCTGGTTCCCATAGCTCCTATGCACAAATCCTAATTCTAACCTTAGCAGCGGCTGCCTACTAGACTGATGCTAAGGCACTTACGCAAACTCACAATAGTCATGCATTTATTTATGCAGGCCTAGGAAAAACTAACAACCAATCACTGTACCGTTTTCTTACCGTAACTCAAATGCTTAAACACAAACAAACCATTGAGCGCTAACTGAATTCCAACATTATCTCTGCTTTTTGCCTCTGCTGTCTGAAAATGCAAAATAAAGCTCAAATCAGCTGTCAGCCTACCTCTATAGGAGATGCAGGATTCAGCACACAACTCTGTAGGCCTTATGCCAGAATTAGCTACAGGCTGGTAAGGCTGTCCAAACAGATTAATGAACTGAAATTCAGCTGGTAGCAAGGCTCAGGCCTGACATTTACAGGCCAGGCAAAATTCAACAATAAAATCAGCCTCTTAAAGAGCACAGCATTCTTGAGTAGACTAGCCTGCTGGGTAAAGGAAACATCTGGCTGGACAATACACCGATGTTTCTAAGCTGGTATTACTTGAACGGCTGCTTCCTTGGAGAAGGCATAGCATGCACCTTGTTACTCCCTGTTGCTTCTGTTACCAGGGAAGAATCTTACATCAGCTGTCAAAATGCCAGTAACAACTGACCTAGTGGACATCTCAATTTATAATCTTTGCACCAGTTTGGCAGTGAAGAATATAAAGAATCTTTTATCCGCCCCCCAAAAGCCATAGCTGCAGTAAAATAAGATTGCTGGTTAATAATGTATTCTATAACAAAACTAAAGAACAGATGTAACAAAAAGTAACAATAATAGACAATTCAAATTATGTTTGGGTTTTAAGTTGGACTTTCATATATTTAAGCCTATGATTTTTCTCAGAATTCAGCTTTGTATCTTATCCCCCAAAGTACCTGCACGCACTCTGGTCTTTAGTACCTTGAATAATGCCATTTTTTCACCAAGACTATTTAGTGACTCTAGCAGTAAGTAGATGATCAAGTGTTTATGCCAAGCTAAGATACATACCCCATACATATCTTGCAAGTTATCGTTAGTTTTATATATATATATATTAGAAAACAAACCAAAAACTTTCTGAAAGTATTCTAACACACATTTTAAAACACAGCATCTGCACCTAAAGCATCAGCAATGATAAACTGTGTGCATTTTGTGTATAGGTATATAACGTGAAGTTAACTGTAACAGGATTTCAGTGCCTGTGTTTCTCTTTTTCAACAAGTACCATTGTACATTGTTTAAGACATGGTTTTCGGAGGGGATTCAGCAATATCTGCCAAAGACAGCCCTAGTCTGAGCTCCTAGAGTTATATGCATTAAAAATTTGAAGAACTCGCATGTGTTTCATGCCCAACCTTATGCTAATGAAGTAAACCAAAATACCAAAATGAAAACCTCTGTATTTGCAATAAACAGATCCAGATCTAGACACAAATCTCAAGTTTTGACCTTTAAGTCCTCTAATTTTGATGCCTAAATTCTATCAGCTTTTCAGGTCATTTTTTGAGTATAAATTAATCACATGCCTTTACAATTAGTTCTTGTGTCGAATTCTGTTTTGGCATGCGCACTTGAAAGAGCATCACATAAAGTGTTTCTTTCCTGCAGAAGTCCTATGTAATGTAACACATCAGACACGATTGTGCATTTTGTCTGTTCTGTAATTTATTTTATTGCATTATTCCTTTTCTGTTGTACACTATAATTTTTTAGGATATGAAAACACTTAATCAAGTACACTACAGAAATGTCAGCACATTCCTTCAGTAGTCAAATGGAAGCGTCCAAATTACCCTATGGAAATGCACAAAACCAGGTGTGAAAAGTACATACCCTGATGACAGTATCTATGTACCATTGTACATACCACATACATTGACCACCACACTGATGCACACTAGGCCATTCCACTCATGACTCTTGTGAAAGAGTTGTCTTGGTCACTTACAGTTAATAAAAAAAAGGCAAATGAGGGAACTCTTCTAGTTAGACATCATCAACTGAAAACTAACCAAATGCAGTGGAAAAAAAGGACTGCAGGTATCATACTTGACTCTGTTCTTCTCCAACTTTTTAAAGAATTCATCCTTCATACAGAAGTATCTAAGGAAATTGATAGAGTTCTGTGGACAACTAAACAGTCAATTTTACAGCAATGCTACAGCATGCAGTAGCCCATAAGAAATGCTGGAGGGTGGCAGAGGTTTGCTGACCAACAAGTTGAGTGCTCGATCCTGCAAGATTCTAACTGCCACCCTCCATTAATATTAGAATAAATGAGGCTGCCAAGTATTTGCGTTTATGAGGCTGGTGTGACATCAGGGTCAGGGGCTTCTTTCGTTCTTACTGGAATTACAGATCATGATTGAGTTAGAACATAAATGCTCTAGAATTTCATATTTTACTACAACAGACTTTGGCACACTTTGTACTTTGCGCCACAGGTACCCAGCTCAGGTGAGCAACTTTTTCTCAGTGGTCTCTATTTTTTTCAAGTTTGCAGATCAGTTTTCTCTTTTGTACCAACCTGGGGAAGAGCAAGGGCTCAATCTAGCTTTTCTGGTTAATGCAAGCCTCTGAAGCGGGCTTTTCATCATAAAGCTTATATGATAATATTTCCTCAATTATATGAAGCTCTAAAATGTAAAATTGTTGTAATAGTCAGCTACCAAACTGAAAAGAGAAATCCTACTATAAACAACAGCTTGTTTTATACTCTTAATGACATACTGCCCATAATCTCTTCACACAGGATTAAGGAAGGATTAAAGCAGGGGACAAATAGAGGACAAAATACAATAGCTTGAAAGAATCTAGTAATTCATGTAAATTTGGAGAATCTGAACAAGTACTAAATAATTTAAGCAAATTTTCACTTTTACTATATTATCAGTGTTTTATTTTAAGCACTAGCAACAACTTTAAATTTTGTCTGAATTACATTTCAAAATATAATGAACAACAGCAAATCATCTGCATTTCTGCTGTACAAGTATTATGCACTACCAAAAGTTATACATCTGCATGCTAAACAGCCTACTCCCAAATTAAAATACAAACGAGAATGTATGACCCAATGAAGACGTCCCACACAGATAAGCAAAATACATACAACCCAATTTCACCAACCTGTTTATAGTAACCGTTGAAATCCCCCAAACCATTCAGAGCATGGTATCACTCTCAGTGATCAAAACTGGCAGTATTGCATAGTACAGAATGTATGCCAATGTAAATTTTAAAAATAAAAAAAAAAAGCCAAACAACCACACACCAACAAATTATTGCTACAAGAACCTTCTTTGCAGTGACTGTGTATTACTGAAGCTGACAGTAATCAGATCCCATGACAGGTGGATCCAGTTCTTGGGATTAACTACAAATCCATTACTCTAATCAAAGACCAGTGGTTATTTAGAAGCACGACTGCTCAGCTGCAAGCAAGAAGTTAATAACATCGACAACAAATAGTTCTACTTAAAAAAAAAATAATAAAATTAAGGCAGTATATTTGAAAGTATCTTCAAAAGTCTAATATGTTGTTTCACTTTTTTGTATTGGGCATATAAAAAAAGCAGGAAATCCAGTTTGCTGGAAATATTTTCCCTCGTTTTGTTGCAAAGTAGCTTTGGTTTCAAACCAAAATGATCCACATTGACTTTTTCAGGATGTTTCAACAGTGACCTGCCTGGATGCTCCTGCCCTGTGCTAACAAGGTTACCTCTTCCCACCCCCGTGAAACCTCTTCCCGCAATGCAATGAGCAGTAGGTACAGTGAGTTTCAGGCCAGTAATGGTTTCAGTGAGACCTGCTGCCGGACTTGCAAGTCTCCAGCTTTAGGCAGTGTCCAGAAGGAACAGAAACTACTCATCTTTCAACATCTTCACACCGCTACAAGTTTCAATAAATACCCATTTCCCTGCCAGTTTTAGTTTCACCTGGTGACCGTTATCTCCCAAGAGTGTACAGTCACCTTCCTTAATATATGCTCACAGTCCTAAGGCTAGCACAATTCTCCTCTCACTTACTCAGGCCGTGAAACTCAAGACTGCCTAGCCTGGAAGTCTCACCCTGGTTCTCATCAATAAAAATTCACCCCTTCTCATTAACCCTGAACACGTTAGGCTGTCAAGGCCCATACCTGCCTCAC